CAGAGACACCATTTTTGTTAATATATGCCCTTGCATCAGCCAGATATTCTTCCGTTAGATCTGTTGTCTCTTCTGTATCTTCCGTCTCTTTTCTCTCTGTTTCTTCTGTTTCTGTTTCTCTCTCTGTCTCTTCTCTCTCGTCAGAGACACCATTTTTGTTAATATATGCCCTTGCATCAGCCAGATATTCTTCCGTTAGATCTGTTGTCTCTTCTGTATCTTCCGTCTCTTTTCTCTCTGTTTCTTCTGTTTCTGTTTCTCTCTCTGTCTCTTCTCTCTCGTCAGAGACACCATTTTTGTTAATATATGCCCTTGCATCAGCCAGATATTCTTCCGTTAGATCTGTTGTCTCTTCTGTATCTTCCGTCTCTTTTCTCTCTGTTTCTTCTGTTTCTGTTTCTCTCTCTGTCTCTTCTCTCTCGTCAGAGACACCATTTTTGTTAATATATGCCCTTGCATCAGCCAGATATTCTTCCGTTAGATCTGTTGTCTCTTCTGTATCTTCCGTCTCTTTTCTCTCTGTTTCTTCTGTTTCTGTTTCTCTCTCTGTCTCTTCTCTCTCGTCAGAGACACCATTTTTGTTAATATATGCCCTTGCATCAGCCAGATATTCTTCCGTTAGATCTGTTGTCTCTTCTGTATCTTCCGTCTCTTTTCTCTCTGTTTCTTCTGTTTCTGTTTCTCTCTCTGTCTCTTCTCTCTTTTCTGACTCTGTTTCTTCTATCTCTTCTGAAAAATTTTAGATTGTTGTCAACCAATCACAGGCAACAATTCTTGCATTTGGATTCCTGCTCCATGGGGCTTCGGTGGCGCCACAGAGTAAGGATATACAGATGTGGAACTCGAGGCAAATCATGTCCCCACTTTTTTAATGCGCATGCGCGACCCTCTGGCAAGTGTCATGCACATTTTTTATCAGGAAAAAGATAGGGAAATGCAAAATTTTGGCAGTAAAACGGCGATTTTAAGCGCAGTAACCGATCAATCTTCATTTTCTGCACGAATTTTGCAAATAAATGGCACACTGCGTCTTCTTAGCGAAAGGGAATTGAACGAATACCATTTTTG